ATAACGCCTTGTACATGATTATACAAAAACAGAAAATCTGTATCTTTGAAGGACTGTGCAATGTTCTGCTTGTTATTTGTACTTGTTTACGAACGCTTGAAGTATTGTCAAACTATCTACTGGCATTAGATAGTTGTCAACATCAAAGGTAACTCTGAAGGTGTCTTCAGCGGCTCTTTCGGCTTGGCTGATACCTATTCTGCAACTATTCACGTCTTCCAAAGTCTTCCATGATCTGTTGGGTCATATCCGGTGTCACAGGAGATTCGCCCCCCCAGGAGATTCGCCCCCCCTCTCAAAAGGGGGGCGATATTCCTAGGATATTCGCCCCCCCGGGGCGAATCTCCTAGGAATATCGCCCCCCTTTAGGAATTTCGCCCCCCCATATAAATTTTGAATTTTTGATCTAAAAACAAAACGATTGCAAGTTGAAAAGATTTATTGTGTGATTTATTTATTTATTTATTACAAAGAGACAAAATTACATACACATTTTAGGCTTCTTAGCAGCTGGTAGTGTGCACACTGCAGTCTGCATAACCACTCATTTGAGGTACTTAGACTAGTGTCATATTCTACACATCTAAAGTGGAACCATTGCCCACAGAGATCGCATAAAATCATATCTATGATAAAATCATGTTGTCGTATTCTTCTGACAGTTTACATTCACATAACATATTATAAAAACAATCGCTTGCAAATTTTATCAATACCAGTGTTAACAATAGCCGCCACAGTAATCAGTGACTAATCACTTGCTAACAATAAACTATAGGATTAATAAAAAATCTATGGAATGTGTTGGGGAGCGTATTGAGAGGGCCCCCTATACTTTTTGCGTGAAGCGTGAAGGGCTTATTTTACTTAGCCGTGAAACGTGATCGGGCCCCCTATAATTTTTGCGTGAAGCGTGAAGGGCTTATTGTACTTAGCCGTGAAACGTGATCGATGATTTTCTTAATCCGTGACTCGTGAAAAGGCAAAATATTTTTACGTGAAAGCATATTATGAAGAGGTATAGGGGGCCCTCTATTGACTATTGTCCGTTGAATCATCAACTTTCCAGTCTTTCCATGTCAGTGTTTAATTTAATAGTGATGTAATATTGATTCTTGACTTCCGCAAAGAAAATTGCATTATATATGTGGTGTGGTTTATTCAAATAATTTCATGATACTTTGATTTTATTAGTGCCTTAAACATTTGAGAATGTAACTCTGCAAAACTAAAAGCTTATTCGTCTTTTTTGAAACGTATATTATTGGAGTAATGCCTATTGGCAAGTTTTACCCTTCGCTTCTGAGATTTACAAACTATATTGAAATAATGCAAGTAAAAAATAGTGACAACTTATAAGCCACACATTTTCCAATAACGACAAAACGTGGATGCAAAACAATACCAATAATTACAATAACCACCACGGTGATTACTTTTTAACAATGAGTTTAAGGATTAACATTGAAATGCAAAATATGCATGGTGTGCTGTGAAGCGTCATAAGTCCTATTGATCTACTGTAACTGTGTAAGCCCTTTCGATACATGTAATTGTAAATTTGTATTCTTACATGCAGGGCTTGAAATAATAAACGTTCCCAAAGTTCACGATCATGGTGATCGGCAGTCATGACTTTCCCTGCTTTTTTCAGGTTGGAAACCGAAACCCTGCTTTTCCGCCGATCATATTAAAGCAATTCCTTGCCGATCGGTGATCGGTTGTTATTTCAAGCTCTGTCTTAACAATTTTGAATTGATATTGATTTCAAATGATTAAAGCCATGTAATAATTATCCCATGCAACTGTTAGGAAGGGCGAAATATTGAACGGAGGACGAAAATCCTAAAGAAAAGGTGAAGTTTGTAAAGGGGGGCGAATTTCCTAAAGGGGGGCGAAATTCCTAGGATTTTCGCCCCCCTGGGGGGGCGATATTCCTAGGAATTTCGCCCCCCGGGGGGCGAAAGTGTAGGGGGGGCGAAAATCCTGGGACACCGGACAAGCGCTTTTACTCTTCTGGTGGACAAAGGAATACGTTGGCCCAAGTCCCGACGAAGTTATTACTATTAAACTAGGTTACTCACAGGGCAGTAATGCTGCCTTTGACAGCAAAAGACAAACTACAGGGTGTTGAACGAGTCCTTCAGAAACATCCTATTATTGTTTAGCCTGCATGGCAGGCGGTTCCTAAAATTGGGCAAGCCTGGGAAATACCGCCTGCCATACAGGCTAATTATTATCCTTGTTAACCCATTTATTGACAGTACCCTACCACTGACTGAGTATTAAAAATCGTCTGGCGTTGGACAGGGTAAATACTAAAGTAGGGGTCATTACTGTGCTGATGAATTAACAAGAGCCATTGGCAGATAGGTTTGTTAACCCATTTACTGGCAGTACCCTATACCACTGACGAGTAAAATCTTCTGGCGCTCGACAAGGGAAGGGCGCATTGCCAGCTAATGGGTTAAACCACCGTGGTTAAACATAAGATTTCATGATGCTCCAGGAAATGTAAACAAGCTATCAGTGTGACATCTCAGTTTATATATTTATATACTCGGAATATTGATTTCTCGGTACATACAAAATTATTTTAAAGTATAACAACCAGCGAAGACGTAAGGCACTAACTACCCTGCGCGGCTGCGCGCAGACTATATAACGACATATATATGTCATCCGTCCGGTCCGTCCGTCATTCATCCGTCCGTCCGTATCCGCGTTTTATCCTAACCCGTTTTTAAAACACAAAGTTTGCATTTAATTAAGGCAGTGCGGTTCGTCATGATCAATATTTTCAAAAGCGGCCAATTAGACCAGGGGTTAAAGGGCAATGACATGCAGGTGACATTTAACATTGCGTCTCACTAATTAAAATTTGCGTGTTTAATAGTGTTTATCAAAGAAAGCAAAAATATATACAAGACAATCTCACATGTGGAGTTTTTTCACTTACAGTACGTACTGTCTTGTGATGCAGTACAAGTATAAATACAAATGACAAAGCATTTGTAAATCCTAAAACATAATTAAATCATACGGCACATTTAAGATTTTAATATCGTATTTCAGCCGCGTTTATACTGTTTGGCGCATTCGTTGCGTTATATTCATTTACATGTATATACACAGAAAAGCATGTCATTGTCCTTGCAGACCATAGGCAAAAAGCATTTGTCAACCATGCACATACCAAATTTAAGCAATCGTTAAATCATATACATGTCATGGAAAGAATATGGAAATAATGTTGAATGAAAGCTAGCATCGCGTATAATATTAAAAGCACTGCATATAGTGCTCGAACCACTGCGTATAATTGCAAAAGCATCGCGTATATAAATGGTGAAAGCACCGCGTATAATACTGGAACCACCGCGTATAATGGCGAAAGCACCGTGTATAATGCCAAAAGCAACGCCGTATAATGCTAAAAGCACCCAACAAAATGCCGTTTGATGGATTTCCATAAAAGAAGACAAATGATGAAACATGATCACATTGCCTGACCGCGCTGCACCACGGTTAAAATTCACTGGTACCGTCATGCAATGCGCCAAATAGAAAATTTTGATTTCGACCCACAAAACAAAATTAGGATCTGCTGCCTTGCTCGCTCGCTTCAGGCTCGCTCGCTGCGGCAGCAATGAAACCGCCGCTGGGGGAATAACAACAAGATCGATAGGCTAAAGCCGCTAAACACGAAATCAACAAGCGTTCAATTGATACCATTCCATGTGTCAATGCACATGCTTCCTAAAGTGAAGCGGTATTCGGCGCGTAAGTATGCGGTGCATTGACTGTCAGACACGTTTGTTTCGTATTCCGCATCTCAAACCAACCAAAATGTATTAAAATTCGTCTATTTTATAACAACATTCTGGTGTATTTATATTTGTCGATCAAAAATTCCAATGACAATTTTATTACTACCTTGAGGTTAGCCGCAGAGTAAAGGCTTCAGATTACGCCTCAGATTTGGCGTTGGATTGGGTTTCAATCAGGCCTTACATTAAACTGTATTCAATCGCTCAAAAGTAGAATTATAAAACTTCTTTTTCAGCTATTTCACAAAATTAATTTGACCTGCATACATTTTCAATACTTTACTGTTCAAAACTTAAGAAAGCAAGCTCATTTGTGAACGAAATTTGAGACTTAAAACTCTGCACATGACACATGTTTATGCACATTTGCGATAAATCGGCAAGATGGATATCAGGAAAGATTGGTACGATACCATGTATGCCTACGCTTTTGAAAATTGAAAATCCTTTGATGTACCATTATTTACTGCATATAATCTATTTTGACTACCACATACATATTCTTACAATTTCTTCCTGCTAATATCATGCATGCATGACTGGATGTTCGATCGCAAAATTTTGGTCTTGCTATTTTGAATTAAAGTAATGAATAAGCTATTTTTCTGAGAGTAATGTCACATAATTCGAGAAAGTTCCACTGATCATAATTGAAATAAAATAAGTGTGGTTAACAAATAAATGTTGTGCAAAACGTATTTTGAACACATTAACTTTATAAAAAATAAATAAATAATAAATAAATAAATAAAAATAAATAAAATGTGCCTCGATGGTGAGCTTTGTTTGTCGTGTTACCAACCCTCCAATTAAAAAATTGTAAAATAGAAGCTTTGTGGGGAAGCTGCTGGTTGTCTTGGCCCCATCCAGGTTTCCTGTATATTCCAGGTTTTTTCTGGCCTCCCTGACTATCCAGCTATAGTATGAGTGATGGTAACGCCCAAATATATGTCTAACTATCATCTGGCAGCAGCTGTCTTGTATACAAATACAGCTGTGGTGGGAGTTCGTCTATGGGGAATACACATGCTGTGTATTTGTGGGGTTGAAGTGTTCCCAATGGTCAACTTCAGGCCATAGACTCAGGTTATTTATGTAAATATAATCAGTCGAATCGTAGGTACTGTCCAAGGGGATTATCACCCCTTGGTTCAGGTCTATGTCAGAGGGGGTCGCTACCCTTCGGGCAGAGCTCCTATGGAGCATTCAGTCTCTCCTAGCAGGTCTTATATATACGCCTGCGGGATGAAAACATAAGGCTTAATGAGTCTTTGGGTTGACCAGAGTTTGAGAGTATAATGTATATAATTGGTTCACTTCACCCTGAACCCATTCTCCCACAATGATTTGGCGTGTGTTTTACTTATTTTCGGGCTGTTCTTTCACCTAACGTGCTTGAATTATTAAAGCAAATTTATATATAACAATATATAAATTCAAGTTAATGAGACAACACGTTTGTCACCTTCAAACCTAGTTATAATCTCATAGTAACAGGATAAGCTTGTCAACAGCCACAAAAAGGCGATATCCAATAGTCCAAAGTTCAAATGTTTCTCTGGGCATGTGTAAACCGAATGAAAGATCAACTGACCAATCATATGTCAACAACGAACACGCAGAACAAAGGTCAATGTGATAAGGGAGTTCACTTTGACAAATATCCCAACAAAGAGCAATGTCTTGTTACCGAGAAAGAAAATTTCCACCCACCCACCCGTTCATGTTCCTGATATCTGGTGCATTGTATGGGTACTAACTAATGTTATGCAAGGACTGTTCAAGAACAATTTGTCGGGAAAGACTATCGAACAATTTTCTCATGGAAAATTATCGCTATGTAAATACTTAAGTGTTCAAACAAATAAATTTTGGTTCGGGGTTGAAGTGTTCCCAATGGTCAACTTCAGGCCCATAGACTCAGGTTATTTATGTAAATATAATCAGTCGAATCGTAGTTACTGTCCAAGGGGATTATCACCCCTTGGTTCAGGTCTATGTCAGAGGGGGTCGCTACCCTTCGGGCAGAGCTCCTATGGAGCATTCAGTCTCTC